CACTCCACCTCCGCTCGATCGTGGGTCCACATTCCAACACACCAGTCGGACTGATCGGTATCCATTTCAGGGACTGATATCGCACTTGGTCTCATTCAAATAAACACCACGTGTTACTACTACCAAACAGTCCGCATAGAAAGTGCAACTCGGAAATCTGGAGACCCCAAGTCGAGAGATTGCATGTGATCACAACACCGCGAGTTGCCTTCGGATGCTCAGCGTTCAGCGATTCAGTGTAACCGCGGACATCGACGTGTCGTAAATTTAACATGTGGTTTCTCGTTCCAAGTGAAACATAACACCCCCGCCACAAAGTACATGGGGATTGCAAAGAGTGTACAAATCGATACCGTCCTGGGCTACAATCAGGATTAATCGAATACAGAAGCAAGCGGGGATGGGACGACGGTCAAGAAAACACTCTAAAACGAAATCTAAAAGTGGGTCTACAACAGGAGCAAGTAATTCTACTTTATACGCCAACAATGGTAACAGACGCCTCGATTGGTTTGAGTTGGCAATCAGGAGTGTTTGATGCTGATGAACGAGACAGTTGCTGGCCCAATGTCTACAAGTAGGGATGAGAACAAATACGAGTGTCTTGAGGCAAGGTCTCGTACCACGACATCACCGTCTTGTAGCAGCGTTTGCTGCTGGATTCGGATGCCGTTGACGTAGGTACCATGCACCGAGGAACGGTCTCTGATGAGGATCTGTGTCCGCTGATCAGTATTTGATGGAGTTCCGATGAAAAGGTTGGTCAAACCTGTTTCCCCTGTATCCAGACTTCCGCGTGTGGCGTACTCAACGAAAGGGGACCTTTCGGGAAGATGCCGTTGGACGGCGAAGGTGCGACATCGGATTCGCACCCCAACTGTACTCTGACTTTGTCCGCGAGCGACAGCTGCTTGGATTCAAAGGGGAAGCTGTCTGGAGTCGGAGTGAACGACACGGTAGGCAGGGCGTTGAAGTTCATCGCAGCGAGGATAGGTCAGCTGAGTGGTTCTGAGGAAGAGAAAAGCGGGTGGTTAGAGACACGGACGGATTTCCTCTCGGTTTTATATCGTGCATCGCAATACCTGTGCCTAGCGTAATACGCTGAGGCGATCGATACGTGTAGCACGGTAACAACGGAGAAAGTCACAAGGCCAGGTGTTGTGCACATTCAGGGCCGTGCAAACGAGAGCCCCAGAATTGAGCGTCTAGGGGCCGCGATGCACATTACCGGTGGGTGTGTGCACCAAGTTTACAGTCTCTCCGGCGGCGTGGTGAATGTCAATTCACCCCAACGGCACACCACTGGTGGGAGAAACATTACGCAAGAATGGGGTTGGTAATCATAGATGAATGTCCAGAGAGGCCTCTGACCTCGTGGAAGCGGTCCGCTCGTACCCAGACTGGTTCCTTCCATTCTAGATGATATTGAGTTCCGTTAGCGATAAGTTGAAGCAGCTTCCAGATCGGGATACTCCACAACAAGAGAGACTTGTCAATAAAGATACGCAGTGGTTTTCGGAGATCCGAACTGTAGGGAGTAACAGGGAGGTTGCTCTCCTCATGTGAGAGCAGTGTAAAGGCCAATAGCTCATACAGGCATGATCCCCAAGTGACTGGAAGGCTTTCGAGGTCTGTTTCCAATATTTGAGTCAGAGTAACGGAGAATCTGGTGAAGGGTGATACTACTAACTCGCGACCGTTCGATCGATACTTTAGCTTTGGCGCGTGTCAACCACGTTGTCGGTTCAGATGAAGGGCGCAGTGTGGAATTTACTACCCTGCAGAAAACCTTAGCGAGCCTAGTTTCATTCTTCTAGTAAATGTAAGTATCCTGATCACTCAGGCTTGGAACAAAAAGGTTCCAGCTCGAGTCGCTCGACTCTATGTCAGTAGTCACGTGACCTTCCACTTTTCTTCAGTTCCACTTCCAATTCCAAACCCCAGCTCTGTCAAGGTCCGCTGTTCAAGCAAGTTCATAGTTCACATGTCTCGCCATCCCCGAGCTATCAAGTCTCTTTTGTGGCCTTCTCAGGGCCCATTAAAAACGTCGGCGCTTGTACCACCCCGGACACCACCGGTACATGTTAATTTCTCCACGCGACAAGCAAAATGGATCTCGGAAGACCTCTCATCTCCCCGCACCTTTTCCGCAGCTTCAGATGACGACGCTCATTTCACTGCTCACCTTAATTCCGTGTTTCATTCCTTGGAGTTTCCCCCGGAGCTAGCAAAGCGAATACTCACTCATGGCAGTCATAGAGCTGCTGCTATTTATGGGCACAACGGTCGCCTGGGGTTCATTGGTGGGTAATTACTCAATGAGTGTGATTTTCTTTCACTTGTGGTTGACGTTTGCTTTTATAACACGAACCTCGACAGGCCGCCGTGTCTTGGAATCATATTACTTATTGTTCGTCCACGAAACTGCGCATGGCCATGCTCACCACGATTATGAACGCTTAGCTTCACGCGCTCTAAATACGTATTTCTTGGGAGAGCATATTGCACCTCGCTGGTCTCTTGGTCGTGTGCTCTCTGGGTCCCCACAGCTCCAAAGGAAACTCTTCGGGCCACTCAAACTCAGAATCCCGACTCCGAACTGGATGAAGCCTTGGCGGCATCTCCCGGTGTTGCACAGAGTGTCGGGCTTTACAAAGTAATGGGTGAAGTCGTTCAGGCTGTGGTCGGGGGTGTTTATCATCAATTTGTACGTGGTCAGCTTCCATTATAGAGGTCTACAGTGTCTAACGACGTAGCGGCGACCTTTCTTTCCTTGCGGCATATAGGGTGGCTCCGTTGCGCATCAATTATTCCACACGCGAATTCTTCCGCATCTTTTGTTACCTGGGAGATTAAGCGGGGTTCCCGAGGAGTTTCACGAAACAGCGTTGCGAATTTGTGAACGGATGGGCGGCCCAGAAAGCGACTTGCGACGTCATCTAAATCCAAATACCCCTGAACACGCAGAGGACGAACATGTACATGTATCAACCAAAAGGAGGGCCGCGTGAGTTACTTGTTTCATTTTTACCTGAGCAAGCGTAGGGTTCACATGTGCAGCAGTGCCGCTGGAATATGACCGCTGTCATGCTCACTCGCTTGGATCGTCGAGTTGTATCTCGCAACCCCAAAAATTACCGCAGTCTATTTTTCTTCTTGATTTCCAAGGCATGATCTTTTGGTGGTACTTCCCGTAAACCAACCAGAGTGGATAGCAGGTATGACAGTCTACAGTATTCCTATTCAACAAGCACGCGAGTGTAGCAGTACAGGACCATTGCAACGCATGATCACGTCTCGCTCACCAGTCTTGTTGACTAATCAATTCATCGCCTCATCTCATCTTATCTACTCGGTCAAACACGGAGGAAATTTACTTATCCACTTCGCCGTTCCTCACTTGCCTTGTGCTCTTTGCACGAGGCCGCGGCTCCCGGCTAGATCCACTTAAAGGACGGGGCAATCAATCATGCATGCCCTTTTCGCGTGGAGCGGCAACACGGTCCGCTGTGAAATCAAGGCCAATGCCCATCGGGTCACTTGATCATTTTTGAAATCACTTCCGATCAGTGTGGTAGAGCGTACCGTCAGTTTACGTCGTACACTTGCCCGGGCTCTAGTCCACCAGCCGATGGAGTCACTTCATCCCCCGTGGAGCGGAGCTTGTGCGTACATCTCCGATCAGACGGGAGCATTCTAGACATGTACAACTGTCACGGCGCTGTCCTCATTCAAACCACAAGTCTGGGTCCATCGCGAGACAAGAAAATGCGAATATTACATGCAGCTGGCGCCGGACAGTTCAACTGAGACTACATCGGACTGTTGGTTGATGCATTAGAGGAACAGCATCAAGATGAACGGAAAGCTTATTGCTAAACCCGACACCGGTTGGCACCTTTCAAGGTTCAGATCCCAAAATTCTCAACGTAGAAGCCCATAGACTTGGGTAACCGCATTTCAGAGGGGCTCGTGATGTAAGTAACAACCTGAAGGCAATGCAGCGGAACCTGGGCTCTGGCTCCTTGGAGCTATCAGTTCCGCATTACCATTGGAAGGCACCATCGGTGACCCACATTGTATTGTCAACCTGATGGACATGTTCCACAGCCTCCAATCCAGACGGGGATAAGTGGTTTTTCATTGTCACCCCCAGCCCCGCTGAGACGGTCCAATACGTGTGATTCCGCTTCTCCGTCCTTCAGCTGGCCGAATATCACATACTGGCCTTTCAACTTCTTCAGCTGCGCTTCGTCATCGGTAAGCACGACAAAAAATTGAGACGTGTTTCTGGCACCCGACCCGGTCTTGGAACTTGCCATCCCAAGCGAGCCTTTGCGGGGCATCACCTTGAGACCCTCTTCCTCAGCTTTGAAATCCCCTCCGTAAATGGACTAGGCGAGATTGGATCAGAGATAGTGCCACCATGCATCCAGTGGTTCCTACCTCGCCGCCGCTTCCATCTCCCCGAAGTATATCTCCGCCCTGAGCAATAAAGCCCTTGACGATTCGGTGGACCGGGCATTCCAAGTAATGAAGCTTCTTATTAGAAGCACTTTTGCATGGCCCCTTTTCTCCGGTACACAGCGCGACGAAATTGGTGGTCGTCTTTGCCAACTTTGGTGACACGCTCAGCTCAAAGACGAGCCGCCCCGCCAACAAAGGTTCTGGGGGTTCGAACAAGAGTGGCGTCTCGTGGCCCTGTGATGCGTCTATTCCCTGTATAATATCTCTCTGCCAATCGGACAGTTCCTCTGGTGTGGACGGTAGACCGTAGCTCGCAGCATGTTTGTCAAGATGTGATCGAGCGCGATCGTACGCATCCCGATCGCGTAAGAACTTTTTGGAGTCTCCCATGCAAATATCAAGATAGACCTGACACACAGCCATGAGTGCCTGGGTTACGGAGAGCTCTTGACCAGATGGTCGATATGGACCCATTGGTTCGGAGATGTCCGGGAGGGGTTGACCACGATGGTCCATAATGCATCAACTTTACTGGCGAGATGGCCGAGCGGTCTAAGGCGCCAGACTAAGGACCATACATCTGGTCCGAAAGGGCGTGGGTTCGAATCCCACTCTCGTCAAAGCTTTTTGGCAATCTGCGCATTGCCAACGATTCTCTTACAGTGCAGATCATCTCTTTTCATGGCAGTCCTCGGATTCACTCCTTCTTCCCTTTCACTTTCACTGCAACGAGTCCCGCTGTGAGAGCGATCCGCGTCATGATGAGGTGGCGTATGTCAGTCAGGTAGATCATGACAAGTATGCTGTTGCCTCTTAGCGAAGTGAGCTCATGACGAACTTAAGTACGTATATAGGCGCCGCACCTGCCACTGACCACTGGCAGTAGTACTAGTTTGCATTCAAAATGCTACGGTTAAACTACCGGCATCAGTACAATTTGGCGGTTTGGAAATGACTCGGACCAGCGATAAACGTTACATTTGTGACACCAACAGACCTTCCAACCTGAAGCTCCTCCGAGCGTATTATTGCTGTATATTCCCGCCCATGCATCCTGTGAAGAACCTCGACGGCGTATCAAGATCGCGCGAGGTCGAAAACCATAATGCACGCAGTGCGAATCAATAATTTCATGACAGATCAGATGGTAGATTCGTGTGGCAACGTTTCAATGGAGGCACGTATCTATCTCGCTGTATAGAGTATGAGCGTCGCCCTGTTGATATGTTCACAGCTTTTGTGATGATCGAGAGTTTTCTGTGGAACGCTGTGAATTGAAAGGAAAAGTTACAGATGTATCTGATCGATTCAGACCGGTGATCGGATTTTTAGTTCAATAGCGTTGAGCAAGAAAAAAAAGTGTGATGAGAGTGGGATTCGAACCCACGCCCTTTCGGACCAGATATACTTGGTCATCGAATGACCTGATCCTTAGTCTGGCGCCTTAGACCGCTCGGCCATCTCACCATACAAGGGGTAGCAGGAAGAGTATGGATATGCCTATTGCTGTGACCATCACGCGTCACAACGTGGGTACAGCGCTGTGTGTGCGTGCTTTGCAAGCATCGACCACTCGAGCATCGGACGGTCCAACATGGCCTCTGCATACTATGAGTTTTACAGAGGATCATCGTACGTTTACAGCTTTACTTGGTCGCAATTCGATCCCTACTATGGCCCTGTAGCATTGGCATGGCTCTCACCGACTCGCTGGACGAGCTCATCACGAGCGGCGCCATCACGCCACAGCTGGCGATGAAGGTCTTGCAACAGGTTCTCCATGTGGCACCGCACCCTACGACCAAGTACGCTGACGACCGTCTAGTTTGACAAATCCCTTGCAGACACGATGGTCAAGCAGGTGAAAACTAAGACGACGCTCAAGGTACATTCTCCTTGTTGGTTCGTGGTGTGTTTCGCTCATGGTGTGTGTTAACAGGGTCACTTGCATACGTATCGTCTTTGCGACGATGTGTGGACGTTTATTGTCAAGAACCCGTCTTTCAAGATGGAGTCGAACGAGATGGTGTCGGCACCACGAATAAAGATCATTGCATGCAAGAACGGAGACGCCATAGAGGCAGGAAAGAAGTGACATACCTGCGACGAGTCCGCTGCTGTCATTCGCATTGTACCATAGACGTCTTGTAATTAGCTCGCGGTGTACGCCGCATGCAGTGGTACCGGCTGAGATATTCGCCTGGTACCAGCAACCCAGTGCATGTTTGCTGTTGTGAAGGGATATCAAAGAGCCTGGTAGCACACGTGCTCATAACTTCCCATCTGCTTTAGGGTGTCGGCTTTGTTCACTCATCTTCTCTTCCTCCTCGACTCCCGCGACACCGCGACACCCCATGGACCACATCACCTATCCAGAACCTCCAACAGAAGCAAGCGTCTCAGACGCCCGCAGAGCTCTCCAGATGCAACGCCAAGAGCTCTCGCAACTCTCAGAGCAGATTAACACAGCAGAGGATGCCCTCGCGCAGATCGTCGTCGACAAGAGGCGTACGATTCGAGAGATGCAACACGAGCAACATGCATTGGAAGAGAAAGTAAAGCACACGCTGGCGTATATCTCGCCCATACGGCGACTACCCCACGAACTCCTCCGCCATATCTTTATGTTCAATTTCAACAACCACCCTTGCTGTGCTTGGATCCTCGCCTCCGTTTGCGTCCTATGGCGTAGACTGGCTCTATCAATACCTAGGTTATGGTCCAAGGTGAGCGAGGTATTCTCTTTGGCACGCATCATGTCTCTCCTATTCCCCCCATCCTTATTGGCGCCTGAATATGTTATCGATAAAAACGTGTTTTCCATCCACCTTCTTTTTTATCTGACCTCTCTGCCCAGATACGTCTCGTAACCAACCAAAGCGCGTCTCCCGACACCATTCGCCTCTGGCTCGAACGATCCGGTGACAAGGTTCCCCTGGACATCGAAATCTACCTGCGAGTAAGCTGTAGTTCGTCAGAACCTTCTAGTCGTACTCGAGCATCATCCCCTACACCTTGGATTCCACCCCCACCCAGCCCACCGACGCACTATGTCCTACCGCATCCTCCGCCAGGCACTGCCATTCTTATGCCACCAGCACAGACACCGATCATCGTCCCCCAGTCACCGTCTCACCATGATGCCTGGGGAGCATCCCCTCCTCCCCCTTCCTCGCGAAGTTCTCCGCAAGTTCAGCGCAACACGCATTGGGGACATATTACGATTTTTTACTTGATTGAGCAGATGCACCGGTGGCAACGGTTTGTCTTCCGCTTCGACAAGCAATTTCCCTCGATATCTGCGCTCAAGTCTATCAATGGTGCGAATTACGCATTTTATTGAGAATTTGTATTTAATTGTGTGATGTAGGCGACGCTCCCATGCTCAGAGAGTTTGAAATTTCATGTGCAGAGACGATTTACGCTGCGGAATGGGCCTGGCTTCCCTGCACCACTCCGTCAACCCCCTTGGCGTTATCACAGCTGCAGTCCCTCATGCTGCATCATGTACCATTCAAGTGGTCCTCTCCTATCTTCAAGACGGACTTGCACTCTCTCAATCTTCGGTCACTCCCATCCAATCATCTACCACTAGATCGGATCTTACACATCATTTCAAGTAACCAAAATCTTGAATACCTCACACTGCACTTTGCCGTTGTCGTGCCAGCCATCCTTCCGCTGCACACTACATGTCTACCAAAGCTTCGCGAACTCACATTTGGGGGGCATTACCACATGTCGACGCTTGCTGACGCCCTCGTCCTCCCCGCGTTGGACGTGCTCAGCCTGGACATTGAAGCGCGGGACCCGATCGAGGACATCATCACGAATTTGCTCCAGAGATCTAACAATCCTCCTGTTACGGAGCTGTCGGTGTCATATGGGAACGCGAACAATTCTACGATTTATTATGGACCTGGAGGGATTGTTATTGCGTGGAATTTTTTGGCGGAGATGAATCACCTTCACACACTGAACGTTGGGGGGACACCGCTCGAACCTTTCCTAGTAGCACTGGGAACGCCCGAGGAGGAGCAGGCACATTGGATCTGTCCCAATCTGAAAACAGTGACGATGAAGAGTTGTCATACGCATCCGGATGGGATCGCGAAACTTGTGCAGCTTATCGAGGCGCGCAATCCAGAGACGGGGACTGCTACGATGGTGCACGGTGTCACACCTTCGAAGCTCCGGCATATTGAGTTGTACGATTGTGCATCGGTGGGACCGGATGTGCTGGAATGGCTGAAGAAGCGGGTGGACGAGGTTGTTTGCGCCGAGCCATGTTATGGGAGGTCTACCTGATGTTTCACTAATCCATTTATATTCGAGCTTTGTATATCCTCGTAGCTGTAGTGGTATTCCCGACTTGGATGTGTATTAGTGTGTTATGTATGGTGCACGAAGTTGACTCACAGGTGGGTTAGTTAAACATAGACTGGTCTAATTTAAATACGCACTAGCACCGCAAGTAGATTTGTGATAGATCGAAGCATTTGACTTCGAATTTGAGCTCTCACCGGAGCGCCCGTCGTACCAGAAACGTCCATTCGAGTCGGTCACCGTGGCGTTCAGAACCGCTTTATACTGCCAAGCCCGGTCTTGGCTAATGGACGGAGACAAGGCAGTCCAGGAATCCGCAGCAAACTCGGCTAGCGTGTGCTGGGATCGAGCTGACCGCACAGAACATGCGGAGCCAAGGTGGAGATTCAAACCCTGGCCATGGGCTGTCCTTATAAACGAGCCACACGTCGACGTTCGTCCTTCCACCCATACTGTATCATACCACTACGTTTGACACGATGCCAGTACCAGTCAAGACGGCAGAATTGGGTAATTTAAATAAAGCCAAACAGGGTTGCCTAATGCCGTATGACATGGAGATCATGCGCATGAACAATCACAACAGGTTAGTCTCAAACGTTCGTCTGTTGCGTCGGCCCTCATCGTCCCAAACAGCGCGCTTGCTCCTCAAACACGTCGCCCTCTTCACACTACCCACCGAGCCGAGCTGCCCGCCTGGAGAGACCGCTACGTCGCTCTGTTGAGGGGTGCGAACATGTCTCTGAATGGGCGTGGCGCGCCAGCAGACACCCTTCCCGGCACGGTATCACTCCCTCCATTACCCACTACACCCTACACCCCCATAGAATGGGACTGGGACGTCGAACACGAAGACCGGAAACGTGAGGCAAAAGCCGATGGTGCCCTGCACGACGAGCAGCCCTTTCACGTCGATCGAAGAGTCCTCAAGGACATCGTACGCGAAAAGACCCACTGCGAGGTCGGGCGCATCACTTTTCTGAGCTCAGGCAAGTTGATCCTTCCGTTCCCATTTCCGTGTGTCCCTGAACAGCTGTATTTAGGAACATTTCATAAGGTCTGTTGGTGTCTAATAATGCGATGTAGATGCCGTCCATCAGTCTGACGTGGCCTTCTTATCAGGCTTATCTCGTCACCTTTACGGACACGCGGCAGCTGGTCGCCCGTGTTGCCCGTCGGTTCATGCCTCGCCTCAAGACGCAATCAGAGATTGCAACAATGCAATACCTCCGCGAAAAGACTTGCATACCAGTACCAGACATATATTACTACGATTCAAACCCTTGTAATCGTC